GACCTCCCGAGCCCCCGCCCCACGCGCGGCCAGCAGCCCCGTGGCGCAGCCCAACCTCACCAGAGGAGCGGCTGCGCGTTGCAGTGGAGGCCCATGCCAAGGGACACCCTGCTTGCCTCCAGGGTGCCCTGGGTTTCTTGGGCTTCGATGGTTCTGCTGAGGAGGGCGTGACGTTCCCACACCGAAAATCGATGGACGTCCTGGGGTCTCAGGGTTGGGTTTCTCGTGGAAGGTCTCTTGTGGTCGGGCCCCTGCTGTACCCGCACCCTGCCCCTCGGACTCCAGCGGGTCTTGCGGGCAGCCGGCCCCCGCCGCTCCGCGCCGGCCGCGGCTGCAGCTGCCCGGCAGAGGAGCGCAGCCTCTCTACGACCCGCCTTCGCGCTATACCGCAATACCCGGCAGCTCGCTGGTCCGATGCTGGTTCCTGCGACGCAGCTCTCTCTCGCCGCGCTACTCCAGCAGCGGCGACGTCCCACCACTCCGACGCGTTCGATGCCAGCACACCCGAGAGAGGCACGCCGACTGCTGCTGCAGCGACAAGATTCTGGCCCGCACGCTCCATGGCGGCATCTCCAACAGCAGCTCTCAGGCTTCTCTCAGCGGTGGCACTACCTACGACACGGGCCCGCAGCTTTTTCCCGACCCTCCCTAGGTTGGGTTCTCGTTTTGAATCGAGCAGTGGGGTCTCCACCTCCTCGCCCCCCCCCCCCGCTCTCCTCTCAGCTCTCTCCTTTCGAATCCCTCTTGGGGGCAGCGAAGTGGGGCCACACGCAGATCCAAACGGGACCTCGCCATCCCTGGGGGGCTGCGAAGTGTGAAGCTGTCGCAACTTTCGGGGGCTGCTGGGGGGGCCAATACAGTGGGTTGCCACGCAGATCCAAGTAGCACTTCAGGCACTATGCGCTCTCCGCAAACGCGTCTCCATCTATGTAACCTTATCTTGCCCATGTTCCATCATCTCGCTGCTTCTGCAGAGTTGCTTGTTCTTCCACCTCGATGTCTTCCTTTTGTTTCTCCTTCCCATTACAATGCCTCCTGGCCTTTTGCACCTCCGTTCTGACCTCCGTTCTGCGTGTCGGCCACGCACACTTCGCATGATCTAGATTTCCGCCGTGCACCGTCTCTTGCAGCAATGCTGTCACGCTATTGACGGTACACCTAAAGTCATCGCTTGGTACCGATGGGTTGGGTACGTCGCAGGGTAATTCTACGGCCGCTTCCACCACATGGGTTCCAGGCATTCCTTGCTCCACTTGAAATTCAGCCTCTGAGCTGTGGGTGCGGGCGGAGAGGGGCCGTGGGGGCGAAATGGGGGGGGCAAGCCAAGGGCCCACCCGGAGGAGTGGGCGCGACCTCCACGCCGCTGCGCCAGCCCGAGCAAAGAGCCAGGCCGAGGTGGGCCTCGTCTACCCCCCTCGGGGGGGCAGGGCCCGCGCTCGGGGCGCCGCAAGCGCCGCCCCCGCTTATATTTCAGTTGCCGCATGCTCCTCTGCCGTTCCCCCAACCTCGCCGCCGCCCGACGCGCACGGACCCGCACGCCTGACCTTGTCCGCAGCCGGCCGGCTCGCCGTGGCCAGT